TATGATATAATTTTAAAAATATCCACTATTTTGAGTTATTTATAGTCTTATATAGACATTTGAGATGTTCTACTTGTTTTAGTTTCTTGTGGTTTATATGTAATAATATACCAATATATATCTATATATATATATATTTATATATATAGTGCTGACGTAGGTATAGTGTATACAGTATACCTGCTAATATAGTAATATTTAATTTTTATGAGAGTTTAAAGTTCATATTAAGATGAAATTATACATACTAATTAAAAAAATTGATAGAAGGTAGGTATATAAGAAATTAAAATTTATAAAATATGAGTTTTCCCGATAAACTATTTATCACAAAAGTTATTACAAATATTAATCCTAGAAACTTGAAATATGTTATACTACCTATAATAATTGGATATTTGTAATTTGTTATTTTTTCTGTTTATACCTTTATGTACCAAGTAAATTAGATTTAAAAGTTATAAATCAATAGGGAAAGGGAATGGAATAAAAATGWGGTACAAATAACGTACCGGAATTTAAATTAATAATGGGCCTTTAAGCAATTAAATTTAGATAGGTTACATTTGTCGTATTCTATAAAATCAGATATTAAGATCAAGCTTAAGTGTTAACGTTAGATTTTCGAAACATTATTTTCAAACTTCGAAAACTCGAGTTTAAATATATTAGATATTTAGATCCTTAATTATATGAATTTTATTATTTTATTTGTATGACATTAAAAAATCACAACTAGCTTTACCTTAGTATTTAGATTACTAAAATTGTATGAACACAGATAAACTAGGTAGAAGGTAGTTATGAGTGTTATGATTTGTTGGAACGTCGCCATATCGGGTTAAATAATTATGAATATTTAAAAAAAAAAAAACTAAAGAAACTACTCTATTGTGTAAATGTTGGGTTATTAGCTAGGTACCTATTTGATATTATTACTGTGCAATATTTTAGTACCATCACTTCAAAAATGTCAACTTGATATTATTATGTGCATCACAATTTATTATTTGACAAATTTGATACAAAATCGATCTGATCAAAACATGTTTTGCTGCACACGGTGATGATATACCTGAACCGAATATATTGTTGTAAAAATAATCTGAATGTTTTCGTCTACGTATCAGATATAATTCTATGAAATAAGGAACTAATTTATTTTATTATGTATTCTTCGAATCTGCATATCACCTACCTACTCGCTAGTCGCTACAATATAAGTGTAGGGGAATTTGTACGTATCATTGCCTCTGGGTATTTTTTGTAAAACATTGGTTCTGSTATGACCTATAAGTTTAGCACGTGGAAACTATAATAGAATTCTCGGGAAATCGTTGAAGGTGAAAATATAAGACTTATTTGAATCTCACTCCGTAACCTATACAATATTCATTTGGTATTAACCAATAGGTCATTGCATTTCACCAATTGCGGTCAAACATGACGGTTTCGTTGGAAACGCAAACATTACCGAGGTCTAATGTAACTCAGTGTACATGTATATACAATTATACAAACAGTCCATGTGCATTTTAAGTTATTATATTAATTATTATATCGTTTAGTATAAAAATTATAAATTATAATATACTATAATGGTATACGGATACACATAAATAACCCAATAGGACCTACCTATATTTTTAGTATTTTTTTAGCTCATTAAATTTATCAGATATATTATATCTTTAATATATAAAATGTATGCAATCACTTTTTTTTACTAGCAATCAGTTACTGTTCCTAGTTATCTATAACTTATTACATGCGTAGATAAATAAATTGTACGTAATATTTGGCAAATTAGATTAATTTCTTTAGTCCCTAATACATAATATGGTATTTATAAATTTATAATCAATTTTATATACTATACCTAATTAAGTACCTGATAACTAATTGTTGAATTTGTAAATACACTACAGTGGATATTATTAAATAATAGTTTCTTAAAATATAACGTAAGGGAAACATTGTTTATGATTATTGATTAGTTAACATAAAGAGTAGTATTGAATAAGTAGGTATAGTATACTAAAACCATATTCATTTAATTTAATTGAAAAATATATTATAGGGACCATGGCACCCAGATGACCACGTATCTACCCAATAAGTTTGAATACGGGCTTCTCGTTTTTTCGATAATTGTATGTAATATTGTTTATGCTTAGGTAATAAAAAATTTGAATTACTTACAATTTTATAAACTTGAAAATGGGAATGTCCARCGTCTACACATAATGACATAATATTACAGTCTACAGAGCACTTTCGGACACTAAATTCTTCGACACATACTTAAACAACATTGTTGTGGCTACGAGCGCAAGTTGAGGTTCAATGACGGCAGGTAGGTACCTATCTTGTCCGCAGCACATGCCCGCCCCCCAATATCCATTTGAACGACTAAAACCTTCAAGGTCTACTAGCGTATCATATACCTACACCAGCGTATTGAATGAATTAAAATATAATGATATATAGTAAAACAATGTCAATTGATGAAATACTTACTGTTTACTCATCGGGAATTTAGACATCCTTCAAATTAATCAGTTTTACAACGAAAAAAATAGTGATTGTTAAATATAACAAATAAATAAAGCCTGTGCAAAACAGTTAAAATTAATAAAAACAAACTAATATTCAAGAACATTGAAAAAAAAAATAAAAATAATAATTGTTTAAAATATTTATGTATTTTATTTAATTCCATAATTTAATAAATAGATAATATCTATATGAATTGATAGGTAGGTAGTGATTAATTATAAATTATTATAGTAATTACCTATAGGTAACCTAGTACTGTATTGATACATATTTTTAGATCAATATTATATGTATTAATTTAATTATTCGTTGATATAGGTAGACAGTTTTTAAATAAAATGAATTAAAAAATAAATCAAAAAGGGAGTAGAAAATAAGGATAAAGATAAAAAAGGTTTGTGTATGACAACAGGTATACTGTTGTTAGGGGTCGTCAACAGACAACAGGTATGTAGGTAGGTACTAGGTAGGTAATAATAAAACATGTMTAAATATTTAATATATTATATACAAACATTGAAATATACAATATAGGTACATACAACATATATACGTATCATTTTTAATGAACAAAAATGTACAGTATTGATGATTCATACATTGATCAAGCATTAAAACTGGTTTATACTGTAGGTTATAGAATAACAGGTAAATATAAATCTAACTAAATAAAAGATTAATCATTTTTGAGTTGAACCTTGGTAGATTAAACTACTGTGATCAAATTACATTTTGAGAAAATTTAGAAACACTATGAATCACCTTTGAGTTCCTTTTGTTTTTCTTCCATAATTCGTTGAGCTTCCAGTACATATTTATCAGCCAATGCAGTAATCTAGCAGTAAAAATAAATAAATAGTTAAACTTGTGAAAATTTTAAGGCTATTTTATACCAGATCTTTTTAGTTTTTAATATAAATAATTTTTGAATATTTTAATTGAATATAATATTAAAACAAATATAATTGATTGAATAATGTAGAGTAAGATTAGCTTAAGAATACTCTTATTAGAGTTTAATACATTATTATTAACCAACAATTTGAACAAGTTCTGCACCATATTAATTCATTTAATTTATTTTTAAATTTAGTTTTAATGATACTTTTTAACACCAATTAATTTTTTTTTTTAACATCATTAGTTTATACAGGACTATACTCAGCTTTAAGGGTCCAAAACAAACTGAATTACCCAGGCCTCTTAACAACAGATTTTTGACGTCCAAGGTTCCTAACAAATTATCCAATAAAGCTAGTCAGAAATGAGTATGGCCCTGTGTATTTTTTATAAGTAGCATGCTACTAGATATTTTTCCTCTGCAAGGAAAATTGAGGCATCAAAGGTATGTTTTTGGGTGTAACAATGGAAAAATATTAAGTAGCATGATACTTTATTTTTATTTTTGTTGATTTGTATTACTATGCCAATAAACGCAATGTATTAAAAATTGGATAGAAAATAAAGGGTTGTACACAAACTCACAGCCCAAAAACATATTCATGCTTGCCATTCGTCCCGGTTTGATTGGGATAGTCCCGATTTTAACAGCATGTCCCGGTGTCCCAGCCAGTCATTAATATTTTCCCGTTTTATGGAAGATGAGAGAAAATTATTTTAATAGTATTTTATTTAATAGTAAAACATGGCATAATATTGTACATAGTATTGGGGTTTAACTTGTAATGTATTTTGTTTAAAAATTAAAAGTAATATAGCTGTATTTAAAACAATTCATTCAACAGAAAAGTATCAAAAATAGCTTATAATTAACAATTAATAAATATAAATGCAGCAAATATAGTTTATGCAAAAAATTGAATTGGTTAATACATTTATCAATAAAATTATGGATATTACTATTTTCCATATAATTATATAAAAAAATGAGTTTTTATTATCTTTATTAGCTTCTAGTATTGAACTATAATAGCTCAACAATTACAATTTAATATAATAAATAAATTATACAAAAAAAAAAGTTACTTAATATGATGTCCAGGTTTGTAGTTTTTAAATCTGGCAAYCCTATCTATGTATATAATATATAAAAATATAAAATATTTATCTAATGACTAATAATATCAATACAAATTATTATGGATTCTATATCGATATTAACATTAAGTGAATATATACAGGGAGTAACACTGTAATGGCCAACAGGTCTATTTGACTAATGTTATAACTTTTTTTTTTCAACTAAAATTAAATAATTTAAATTTTTTCCTTATAACCCAAGATAGCTATTTTATAAATAAGTATTTAAAAACAGTTTTAGCATTTAAAGCCTTTAATTTGTTTGTGTCATTAATTTTTAAACAATTTTCAAAGTTTGTTAAGATTAAAATTTATTTCTTGCTAATCAGTGTTTGTTATCATTAAAATGTAGGTATACAATAATAAATATCTACATATATTTTATCATTGTTTAACTTGACTATGTGATCATACCACCACCATGAATCTAGGACATTTGACACAAAATATAAAATTTATAAATACTGAATAATCAGCGTATAATTTTATAATATAATAATATAATTCAAAAGTTTATTMTAATAAAATTAAAAGACAAAATATCTTGTAAATATTAATTAATATGAATATAAATAATAGGTGATAAAAATAAAATACATCCAATTTTAATGTTTGATTACATACAATACATTACTTAAAAAACTAATAATTTTAGCATTTGTTTGTATTAAGTAATTTTACATATACGCTTGAGCCTTTCTTCATTTGATTAGTTAAATAGACTTATTACATCTGTATAATAATAATTCATATTAGACAAACTCTATTTTGGTATAGTTTATAAGTAAAATTAATTGATAAATATATTTTATAAGCTGCTTATTGTAATAGTCCAAAAACTCTTTTTATTTTTAATTTGTGTCTTCTTATATCTTATACACAATATTTAATTTAGATAAATTAGGGCTTAAAAAAATACTGAGAGTTTCTTATTWTTTCAAACTCATAATATCTTAAACATACAAACTTTGATTTATTTTAGGACATGTGTTTTATTTTATTCAATGAAGTAGAGACATAGGGAGATTGATGATCAACGGATTAAGATAGATAGCATATTATAATTTTCAAAAGTACCTGATCTTGTAAAGTGTGAACCAAATCAGTCGCCAATGCATCATTGTCTTTTAATAGTTTGATATTTTTATTTTGTAATTCTTTTATAGAATCTTTAGTTTTGAAAAAAAGTGCTTTTGCACCTTTGCTTAAGTTTTCCCTATGTTCTTTTGTRACCCTAAAAATTAAAATATAAAAATGTAAGTAAATTACTTATTTCCAAAATGTTTTTCTTTAATACTTTACTTAGGTATTGGTATAAATATAGAAGTTTTTTCTTGTTGAGGATTTAAATTCATACCAGAAGCTTTTAATGATTCCAAAACAGATGGAATTGCTTGTGGAAATGAGCTCATGTTCAAAATTATTGTTTTAGGATTTTTCCTCACAATCTGTGCTAAGTCTTGTATAACATATTCATCACCTTCRAATGTAACTGGTAGTGAGTCCAATGCTCCTAAAATGTAAGTTTTAAGATATAGTTGTTAAGTACAATGTAGCTACTGCATTGTTTAGTTTATCTACATTTCACATTCCGTGATAAGGATAACAAATAATAATATAATATAATAAATTTAATTATTTTATTTGAAATATACCTGTAGAAGATCGTAAGGATAGATTTTTTATATAGTTATTTTTTAATGCAACTACAGCCTTTTCCATTTCAGCTTTCATAGTGTTGAATTTGAAGTGCTCAGCCAAAAAGTTCTCATCAATTAATACTTTTTTCTGACCTTAAAAATAAACATAACATAAATACTCAAACATTAAAAATGTTAACTTAATAATTATTTACATGATTGACATTTATCATAGGCAAAACTATTAGTCCGACCAGTAAGGGCAATAGCCTGACCTAATATTGATTTAATAGAATTTAAAATTAAAAACTTATTTTGTAATTAGAATTTTTTTTTTTTTTTTAATCTTGATATTTATCATTTGACCTGTCCTAACAAATTGTCTAATTTTGCTTATGATAATTATTACAAATATTAGCTGGAAATATGGAATCTAGAAAAATAAACAACATTCAAATAAATGACAGATAAAATATGACAAGAGAAAAATGGCAAAGTAAAAATCCCAATGTTTTAATTATAAAAATTATGAAGTTATTAAAATAAAACATCAAAATTATAAATAGGTAAACAGTTAAATAATTAATATATAGGTAGCTGTTAAAAAAATTGTCTAGTCTTTTTTTCACTTAATGTTCAGTTATTTATCACAAACATTAATTTTAAGTCAATTATAGTAATAAGTTGTATAGAAAAATCAATAAATTATATATTTGTAACATATTTGTAAAATATACRTTAAATATTTAAGATAAAACCAGAAACGTCTTACGATAACAATTTTATTGATGAAATATGATTTATTGTAATATATATTTATATTTAATATTATATCACCCRACTAAATCAAAACCCAAAGTACTCAACTTAATATAAATGTAGTTTATTCTAACAATAGTGCTATCAGATTTCTATGCATATTTAAAAATAATTTTATTTAGCCTCCTTCCCACAAACAAACACTGATAGCATACTTACATATATAGCCATACAATAGAAATTATTTGATCGGGGTTAAAAGTTTGCAGTTAGCCACCTATATTTAGGGCTTTTAATTCGTCWTTTATCCTTGTAATTTTTAATAGATTAGTGGAAACATGATATTAACATAATATACCTTTATTGCTTTTCTTGTCTTTGTTTTTGGCGTAATACCGGACCGAATGGTACGAATAACACCAGTCACTGACGATATTATTCAGAAATGTCGATGACTGTCGTTTTGGGCCCAACAGCGACTTTGAATCTAATCTACCAAGGCATTGGAGTGCGAAGTAACAGGGACTTCGTCCGTAACGAAGCGCAGAGACGACTTGTGCTCCTACAGAGGTTGTTATTTTCAACATGTTAATTGAGCAGTGGATTGAACGGAATATGACCAAATATTGGGAACACGAGAATATCGAATTTTAAATATTATATTATGTTTTTCGTCGCTTCTTGGCACCTTCCTGTCTATCCTAAATCTTTCAGCTTTTCTACTCTTTCGTCAATCGTCAGTAGGTTCGTRGATTTGTCCGTGTCTATCGATAAGACGATAACAAAACCGTTATCGGCGTGATTTCTTATCAAGGTTCAGCCATCGACAGTGATAATGGTATCAGTGGTACATCTACCATTTTGTTTTCTCGTACCATCCCAATCCCCTGAACCCGTCCAGACGAACGGGTTATATTCGTAACGTCATCATGTTATTTTAAAATCTATATTTCTATTAAATTTATTGCATGTAAAATACAAATCATAGGTACAAATAGAGGGAGACTTGGCAGTATTAGCAAATAATATTCATGTTTATGTATCATAACCATCTTCTTACAAAAAAAAACTAAAATGAGAAAATGCATGCTTAAGTGCTTAAGTATGTACCCACTACCCTTAGTTATTTTTATTGAAATTGCGCCTATAATATAAATACTATCATATGAAAACGATTGTCGATATTTCAAAGATAATACGGTGTTAGTTATGACGGTAAACGAATTTCAAGAAGATAAGTTCAATAAGTACGCAATAAAGTACCTACCGACTCGTGTGGAAGTCAGAGTACGATACTTTTCACTGAAGTATGTATTGAGTATACAGCATGTCGATGTCATACAACTTTTTGAAAGTTCGATATTGAACCGATCAACTAAAACTTTCTTTTCTTTAAGTTTTGTTTTTAGGTTATGAGAACAAAACCAATAGACTTTCCGTACAAAGACGTCGAAAATCGGTGWGACGGGCGATGGGCGGATGGACTTCCGCGCGTAAAATACAAATTTCGCCGTTGCCGCCTATTTTTTTTTAGCTCTGGCAACGTTGCGCGGCGGCGGCGGTGGCGGCGTTGCCGGATTGTCTGATCAAACAAAAAAAGTCAATGCACTCGTCCGCCGCGGCTGTGGACTGGTCGTACCGTTTCTATGTCGCCACCGACCGACGCCGCCGTCATCGTGTAGTCTCGCGTACTTGTGAGTTTGTGACTTGTGTAGTTGTGTGTACGGTGTACGTGAATTTTCGTGCAAGTCCGAATCGTCCACAAAACGCACACACACATACACACATACACTGGTACAGTGGTACACAGTACACACACATACACACTCGCGTCTCACATTCTCAGACGCTTCGAATTCGATTTATTTTTTACGCGCACGGCGTTTTCGACCGGCGGTGTAGTTTATTTGCGCGTCTGTCGGTGGTCCGTTGTCGCCGTTTTACCGAATTCACGCCGAAATCGTAACCGGCGATCGTCATCAAATTATGCGTTCAGTTTCCGTCCGACAAAACCGACGGGATCGTAGCGCATGACTCTTCAGCCGGCATACGCCACTCTGCTAGAAAACCCGACGAACCACCACCATCACCCACTCGGYGATTCGGTCGTTTTGCAGCTAACACAGTAACACGTCTTGATCATCTTTCATACATATCGTTCTCCTGATTGCCACCGCTACAATAGTACGACTACCATCACTACGTCACACCGGATTTCTAAATAATATCGTCAATTTATCATTATTATAGAGTACCACTGCTGTGATATTATCATTGTCACGGAACCAAAAGGATTTGTGCGATTTTGATTGTCGGTTTTACGGTTTACTCATCGATGATAACCACCTAACATCCTAGTAATATAAATTTCTACATTGCACCAACATTGTTCTACTTAGAACGCGACGTCAGCAGCTTTATACCAGTTCTACCTCGTTTCGTTTTCCACGCGAACAGAAAACATGGCCGGTAATTATTCTATAATTTTTCATAAATTGCTATAAAAATATATACGCTCACGGGGCTATTGCGGACGATGAACAGATCCTGCTAATGATGCCGTGTCCGTCTCAAAAGAAATCATCTCGAAGATTCAAGTCATTAACTACCGTCTTGTTTACTTTTTTGTCACCGTACCTATATTATATTTCATTTTCTGATTTGCTTTAAGTATTCTAGATGACTTGGGTAGCCGTCGTGATGTATTTTTTAATTCTGTTGTACCYATGTATATGTTAACATTTACACACTATTGTGTATAAGATGTTATTAAACTGCACGAAGTCATCTGTAATTTTACATATTTACTGCATATGATTCTTTTTTACTTATTTACCTACCTTATTGTGTTATGAAGACTACTTATCAAGTATCAACAACATTATATTAATACCTATATAGGTACTTATAGATATCCTACTTCAATTTATAACAAATCCATAAAGTACACTCAGAAAATTATATCTTGTTAATTAGTAAATGGGTTAGGGACAGGATTCTGTTAAGATTTTTGGAGTCCAGGGGCACTATAAGTTGAAGATTCAATAGCGGTTTCTCAAGCTCGAGGCACCCCTTGATCTTACCTAGCTGTGCCCCCCAGGGACAAATTTCCCCTTTACCCTATCCTTAAAACGGCCCTRATTATGGGTAGATATCTATAGATTTTTAAGTCATTACAAATGTTTTGATTACATTCAACTCGGCTATGATTTGTGAATTACAAATTTTGTTCAGATTTGATTTATTTTATATTTGGTAAATCCTGTCTTGTTGGATATTGTTAAGGAATATTTTAATACAWGAGAGTTATGTGTAGATGCCCACCTAATAGTTTTTGATCCATCTTTGAATATGCCTTATTCATTCTTAATTGKTTTTGGGTTGGTATTAGATATATTCAAGGGATAGAGATAATTCAAACTTTTATTCCTATGTAACTCATAAATTTTGAGTAATCATTCATTTTTAATTGATTCTTATTTTTTACAAGTTCAAATTTAATTATAATATTTCATATGTACCTAGGTACCTATTTATTTTATTATCTATTATAAAAAAAAATTAACCATAACCTCAAAATCCCTGTATCAACTAAAAACATTAAATTATTATAAGGTGAAAGTACCTAGGTACCTAGTACCTACCAATATTTTCAGTTTATGAGATTATTTTTATGCTCAATTTATCTATATTTGTTAATTTTAATTATTTATATCAGAGTTAACTTAATAATTATACTTTAAGATTGAGGTTGATGACCTCAGTAGATACATATCCACATGTTTTTTTGATATCTATTTGGAAAACAAAATGACAATTAATGCTGCACGTATAAATTTGGTGATTCATACTTTGTTGGTGATTAAGCAGTACAGTAAAGGATATTACAGAAATATCTCAAGTCGTGTTTATATTGATGTATCAAAACATCAAACTGATACGTCATGTTTACATCATATCCTTACCCAATTATTGACATTGAATGGATTGCCTGAATTGATGATTGTAAAATACTTGTATACTACTGTATACTGTTTTGTTACTAGGGTGTATAAGCATTGTAACAATTTTCCATTTTATTATACAGGTGTGGTACACTGTCTCAAACATAAATTAAATCGATTTTTAACCATAAATGAATTATTTTAAATATAAGTTGCTTATCTATTATCTTTATTAATTATTATGCAGTGTAATTGAACATCCCTACCTTTTTAATTTTTTTTTTTTCAAACTATTAGGTAGGTTTTCGTAGGTTTTTTAATTCTTACCTATCTGAATATGGGTCTGTTCATTAATGTGAAAACAGTAGGTGCCAATAAGCTAAATAATTCCTACATAGTTAAATGTGTGTGTGAGCAGTGAGTACTAACTTGCATTCCATATTAACTATCTATTTACTAATTAGTACTTAGTTATTTAATCTAATATTAATTTTAAAATTTGCACCGTAAAAATAAAATGTTTTTAAGATTGGTGCATTCAGAAATTACCAATAYCTTATTAAATACCTATTATCATTATATTATTACAGGTAGGTAATGATTGATTAAACCAATTAATTCTACATAAAAATTTTATTTATTTTTGTTAGATATTTGTATCTTCTATCTGCACTAATTATATTAGGTATCAGCCCTCAGGTTCTAGCTATATAGAAACCTTTTTTTGAGTAAAACATCTGGTSTACTCTACAATATATCTATTGTGATCCTACTATTTATATAGGCATTAAACCTAATTATTGGTATTACAAAAAAAGTGCTTGCTTATCACTATATATACACATATTATTATTTTCCATGATATATTAATTGTTACCTAATAATTGCTATTGATTTTGTTTTTTTGCAGAAGATCGAGAGTCCAGTGATCGCAAACATGAAAAATCAAAGAAGCGTGATAGGGTTAGTTACTAAAAATGTTTTTTTTTCATCAATATATTATTTATTAATCTAATGAAATTATGTCTGTTCTAACCATTTGTTTTGGAACTTGTGGAATACGTTTTACCCATAGTCTTTATTCCAATATTTTTAATGACATTAATGCTTATGATCCCATCGTTACTCAACAACTTAACCAAGAGTATAAACATACAAGTGAATCTTATTTCTTTGAATTAAAATCTAGTGGTTATTTGGAACCCAGGTCGGTTTTAGTTGATATAGGAGATCCAAATATTGGTGATACCTTAAAAAAATCAAAAAATTGTAATTGGGGATTTGGACAGAATGCATTAGGGTTTAATTTTATTGAAGGAACAACAAATAACTGGTCATATTGCTATTATATCAAAGGTCCTGAAATGTTTGAAGATGTTGCTAGTCGTTTGAGATTTGAAATAAATAAAATTGATAAAATAGAATATTTTTTAATAATACTATCACCTTCAGGTGGTTGTGCTGGATCAGCATGTTTTATACTTGAAAAATTAAAACAGGATTTTCCTAAAATTTCTTTTATTGTAGTGTTTGTCATGCCATATCAATCTAAAGATGCTATTCAAAATTATAAYACTTCATTTACTATAAGCAAATTGTACAGTATATCAGATTGTATTTTTTCACTTGAAAATTCTGTTTTACAAAAAGTTTGTCAAGATGGACATTCAGAGATCAAAGTTTCATTTGATGATTTGAATCAAATAGGTAGCAAACAATTAATATCTATTTTTCAACCAGTAGAACATCAGCCATTCTCTTATTTCCTTTCACTTGTACATGATCAAAAATATAAATTTTTAAGATTAATGTCATCTCCTAATTATAGAAAAGAATATTCTTCATATGAATCAACTCCAAGGTGGGAAGCAATTGTGAATCAAACTATACGTTCATTAAATTCATCACAAAGTGTGTCTTTTGGAAATTTTGTTGTATATCGAGGTGATACCACCAATGATGTTGATAAATTAAATTTTTCTGGGAAGTTAAATACTTTATCATTTTCTAAACATGTCCTAGAGGAACATAAATTTTTCAAAATGTTTCAACAAAGACATTTTATGGGTTCCAAATATTTGAGTGTGTTGTCAAATAACTCTACTAATGTTTCTGCTTTAAACTCAGTGGTAAATTTAGCCAAACGAGCTTTTTCTCATAAAGCATTTGTACATCATTATGTTCAATATAATACAAATATAAATGATTTTAAAAACGTTTTTTCTAATGTCAACCAAATTATTAAAGACTATTATGAATTAGAGTGATTTAACGTTTGATACTACCTAGTTTTGTTTTAATTTTATTAACTATTAGATCTCAAAATTTTAGTAATACTATTTTCTAGTCAGTTGTCACAAATTAGTCTTAAGATGTTCCTAAATATTTTTTTCAATTTATTCCTGTTTTTAACAAAATTTTTAATTATTGGTAGCTTTATGTTTTTTATAAAAACTTTATTATTTTTTTTTTTTTAGTGTGTTCTACTGAAATTGTACAATCTTGAGTGTCATTTATTTTAACTAATAATAAATCACCTTTTTAATTTTGATGAAACACACATTTGTGTAATTATTCATAYTATATTATTTACATCCTATATTCATTTGAATAGATTAACTTGAGCTTAAAATATCACAGAAAATGTATATTATCATTTAAAATTGTATGATAATTTGTTAATAAATGTATGACTGACATTTGTAATACTATGTCAGGTTTTAAAATATCAATTAGTATTAAATGAATCAATGATTATTTGGTAGTTGCATAATTATGAAATAGTCATACATTATTGGTGCATAATATTTTTAGGGACTATCTTTTAAATTTATTTAAACTGTTATAGAACCATGTTATAAATTCAGAGATATTTAGTTACTGTAAACACTTCTTGTATGTTTACAGTAACTAAATATTRGGTTTTTTTTTAATAGTAGCTAATAAAGTGTATACGATAAAACTAAAGAAAAGCTAAATTAAATATATTCTCCATATACGCCTATTCAACTACCTACTGTTATTATTAATTTGACTGTACACAAAGAGTTATCACTTTATCAGCCTAATATTTTTTTTTTGTTTTTGTTTTATAAACATTTATTATTATTAGTGTTTTAGTCTTCACAAGTGTTTAGTTATTTCAAGATTTTTATTTACTATCTTTTGATTTTTGTCTCTCAACATCAACATACAATCATCTCAATTTTCTTATGAGTGAATCATGTCTATTCAGTTGGACACCGATCAAGTTGAATAGGTGTACATGAGCTTTTTATATAAATCAAAGGTAACATTTTTAAATAATGTACACAAGGCCTTTTTTTGTATCACTATTTAATTATTACTATTGATAATAAACTTTATTCTTTACTTAATAATTCCTAAATAAGTCATGGCTATATATTTTTTTGTTTTTATATAGTATACATTTTGGTTTGGTTATAAAATTATAATTGGATAAAAGGGGCCTATATAATTCTTAAAATATTATTTTAAACTGTTCTTTTTTTTATTCTACAGGAACATGAAAAAAATGGTGTCAAGAAAGAAATTAAAAGAGAATACAAAGATGAGCCCTATGATTCAGGTTATCATTCCCAAATTAAAAGAGATTACAAATTAAATCATAGTATTAAGGATGAACATTTTTCTGATGATGGTGACTTTAATATATCCAGCCACAAGAGGAAACAAAGTGATGATGATTTTTCTATTAAGGAAGAAATAGTGTCTGATGATGACATACCTTTATCAAATAGAAAACGCAAACATTCTGGTAGTAGTGAAGATGACGTTCCTCTGAGCACTCGAACAAAGCATATTAAAAAGGAACACAACAGCAGTCACAAAAAACATAAAAAAGATAAGGAGCATAAGAGTAAGCATAAAGAAAAAGATAGAAATCATTCATCTAAAGATTCTAAACATAAAGTAAAAAAAGAAAATTATACATCTCAAAAAGAAAGTCCTGTTAAGGGTACACCAAAGAAAAAAAAGGAAGAAGAACCGCAAGAAGTATGGAAATGGTGGGAAGAAGAGAAAAAAGATGATGGTGTTAAATGGAAGTTTTTGGAACATAAAGGACCTGTTTTTGCTCCAGCATATGAACCTTTACCGAGTAATGTAAAATTTTATTATAATGGTAAACATGTAGTTCTTTCAGAGTTGGCAGAAGAAGTAGCAACATTCTATGCTAAAATGCTTGATCATGATTATACAACAAAAGAAGTATTTAATAAGAACTTTTTCAAAGACTGGCGCAAAACTATGACACCCAAAGAAAAAGAGTTAATAACTGATCTCTCATTATGTAACTTTAAAGAGATGAATGTATATTTTACTAAAAAATCTGAAGAACGTAAAGCTATGAGTAAAGAGGAAAAAAAAAAAATTAAAGAAGAAAACGAAGCTATGCAAAAAGAGTATGGATTTTGTACTATTGATGGACATAAAGAAAAGATTGGTAATTTCAAAATTGAACCACCTGGTTTATTTAGAGGACGAGGTGAGCATCCTAAGATGGGTATGTTAAAAAAACGGGTAGTACCTGAGGATGTCTTAATTAATTGTAGCAAAGATTCTAATATACCTAAACCTCCACCTGGCCACAAATGGAAAGAAGTTAGACATGACTTTGGTGTCACGTGGCTTGCTAGCTGGATAGAAAATGTTCAAGGGCAAGTTAAATATGTTATGTTAAATCCATCTTCTAAACTTAAGGGAGAAAAAGATTGGCAAAAGTATGAGACTGCTAGAAGATTGGCAAAATCAATTGATAAGATAAGAGAAAATTATATTAATGATTGGAAATCTCGTGAAATGCATGTAAGACAAAGATCTGTTGCTTTGTATTTTATTGATAAATTGGCATTAAGAGCAGGAAATGAAAAAGACGAAGACCAAGCCGATACTGTTGGCTGTTGCTCTTTACGTGTGGAACACATACAATTACATGAAGAATTTAATGGCAAAGAATATGTAGTTGTATTTGATTTCCTTGGTAAAGATTCCATTAGATATTACAATGAAGTACCTGTAGAAAAAAGAGTATTCAAAAACTTAAAGATATTTATGGAAAATAAAAAAGGTAGTGATGATTTATTTGATCGTTTGAACACATCAATATTGAATCAACACTTGCATGAACTTATGGATGGACTTACTGCAAAAGTTTTCCGTACGTTCAATGCTTCATGGACACTTCAACAACAACTAGAAAAATTAACTGATCCAGATGTGTCTGTTGCGGAAAAAATCTTACAATATAATCGGGCAAATCGTGCAGTTGCTATCTTGTGCAACCATCAACGTGCTGTTCCAAAAACACACGAAAAGTCAATGGGAAATTTAAAGGAAAAAATACAAGCTAAAAGAGCAGCTGTAAAAGAAGCCAAGAGTCAATATAAACAAGCTAAACAAGATATTAAAGACGGTAGTGTGCATTCCAAGACTCAGTTAGAAAAGAGGAAAAAAGCTTTAGAACGATTAAAAGAACAATTGACTAAATTAGAAGTTCAAGAAACTGACAAGGAAGAAAACAAGACAATTGCTTTGGGTACGTCCAAATTGAATTATTTGGATCCGCGTATATCTGTAGCTTGGTGCAAAAAGTTCAACGTTCCTATTGAGAAGATATACAATAAAACACAAAGAGACAAGTTTAGATGGGCCATCGACATGGCTGGACCAGATTACGTATTTTAAATTTGAATGAAACAAAATAACTTTCTCAGTGATTAAATCTAAATATAATACTAATATCAGTGATTCAAAACCAATTTTATATTGACTGTCCTTTTTTATTTTATTTACCTGGCAGAATAATGTTTTTACAATAATTATTGGTACAAATTGATTCTTATTCATGGTACCATCATTGAAAATCAATTTTTGATAAACATTCAAAATTGAATTAATATAAAAAAAAACCTTGTATTCTAACTATTGTATTCTATTTTACAATTATTCATATTTTTTCTTTTTGTTTTGTAGTATCCGTCTTAAATCCAAAATATATAAGTTTGTAAGCATGTTTATTGTATGCTAGACCTTAATTTTTTTACCTTATACTACTGATTGTAAATTGTGATAATGCTCTCGTAATATGATTAATAGTAGTATTTTGTGTAAAATAGAAAATAAAATAAAACTTATTTTGATGTACTTTCAAGTAATGGTGACTTTTAATTTTAATTTTATTAGTTGTGTATTACAGTAATAACTATTTTACTTATCAATAATGCCGATAAAAAGGAGATTCTTCCAGCAAATAATATTATTAAATTAGTTTTAATTTCATTATTATGTAATTAATGTCAGTCGTAATCTTTTTTACTGTAATACAAMATTTGTACAGAATTATATTGAATTTTAAATTAAAAGCTTAACAAATTTAAATGTTATTATCATTTTCATGTTTTTTTTTTTTAAACCAATTAAGTCAAACCTTGTGATTGAATATATAATAAAAAATAAATAGGTACCTACACATTTTTATTTATATTATGTATGGTTTAAAATGTAATGATTTCAATTCAAATAAAATAATTCATTCAAATTGCCTGTATTTTCTTATTATAATTAGTTTTTTCCACACTAAAAGTAGTAATATAATATTCATAACTCAAAAGCTTATGTCCAGTATTGAATTATCATTCTAGCCAGWGGCACAATTTCATTTTAAAAAATCCGATGATGCTAATCCTCCTCTCCTAAATTAACCTTATATAATAAATTATCAGTTATGTATATCCATGAAAATTACACAATGAACAACTTCGCCCAATCTCCTTATTCAATTATCACTTGTTTATAAAGTTTTGTTTTAATTTAATAAAATAAAATAACTCAACCTTAAAAGTTAAATGGCATAAATATTGGTGATGTTGATTCAAAACTTAATATGCCTAAGAGGGCATTTATGTCCCAACCCAAAATATTGTGGTGGGCGTTGGCATGTAATTTATTTATGTAGGAATATTATTTAAACCGTATGAATATTCTGATGCGTTATTAATGAATACTTAGTCGTTCGAGTCCAATTGATAATATCTCTCATCAAATAATTGGTTGATTTTACTCGTACTCACGAAGACATGAATATTATAGGCTCCAGAACGACTACCTACTTGATAAATCAATTTTTTTTTTTTTTATTAATTGTTTGAGACATCAACCGCATGGTTATTAGCCGGCGCGGCGTTACATATTTAATTTACATTAATTTCTTACATACTTGCTTAATTTCTACTTATTACCTATATTTACAGATTTACATTTTAATCTAAATTAGAATATTCAAATCAGTTGACGCAGTTCTGTTGAGTTGACGAAATTGAGGAGTTTTTGGTCGTCTCGGGAGTGGGTTAGGCCGTATAGTGTCTCAGGTAATTTTAGTTCAATGCGCTTTTCACTGAATTTATGACATTCTGCCTATATATACTTGACTGTAATGATTGTTCCGCACGCCAGGCCATGATGGAGGGTCTTCTTTGGCCATGAGATAAATACATTTTATATCATGAGTTATGAGTATTCAAAATATAGTAAGCTATCGTGTTATTTTTGTCGGTCTAAATAAGAATTAAAATTTTATAATGACCGTAAAGTTAAGCACGTACAAAGTACAAGCTACCAAGTTTCAGCTGTAGTAATGAATTACTATTATAAACGTKTTTAGTGGTGATCGATAGTAAGTGTGATTGCTTCTCTAAAAAATACAATAAAAATATATATCATTTATTATATATTCACGAGTGACTATTCATGTCAATAATAATTTTGAATATTTTTGAACAGTTTTTTATGAGATTAATTTAATAGTTATAAATATTACATAGACGTATCAATATCGTTTTAGGTGCAACATGCCAACATTATGTTTCACAGGTTAGGTATACCTTTAAATCCTAGGACTGGCTACAAACTCGCATATTGTTAGTTCCACTTTTATARAATATTAATTATAATAATGAGAATTGTTTTGACATTCTTACACACTCGATCGATTGGAACGTGATTGTGGTGAAATGTGAAATGTCGGTAAACTAGCTGTACCCAATATTATTGTATATTACAGATCTCGTTTTCGGGAGTATTGTATAGGCAATTCATCATTCCCTGTCTGCAATACACAATTTTATTATTACTTATTACTTATTATAATAATATTAAAATACAATTACCGTACAATTTATATACTTTCAAAAAGGGTTTCGGTCAATGTCTATAACGTAAAACTGGGCACTGACTGGTTTAGTTCTAATTCAAATTAACTTTGTAACTTAACTAGTTGAATTGAATGTGTAGAATAATCTAATGTAATTCGTTAAAAACAATAAGTGACTAGTTTTCTTAGTAGTTTTTTCTTTTCATTTCAAAAATCCAAATGTTGCGTAAAACTACTGTGTGCAGACTATTAATATTTTAGTTTAGCCATCATCATAATTTATTAATAATTATGCATTTTGRATATTTTCAATTTTATWAAAAAAAAWAATAATATTCTTGCCATATTATTTAATGTTTTTTATTAGTTATTACTTATCTACATTAGTTATACATTACCGTCTTKTAATACACGTTGTCACGTTGACAATTATGCTTATAATTATAATGGCCAATAAATGTACATACTACACGAATGTAGTATCATGGATAGTTAGCATAATTATTTTTATGTTTTACTTATATAATGTTCTGTATATTAATGACTTACCTATATTCCTCTTCATTTTCAAGAATTAGGGGTTATTAAAGTTATTACCTATCTACTTGAAAATTTGATTAAATTATCAGTTTTTTAATATAATTTTATCGTTACAAATAATTCAAGTTAAATACCAAGACATCTAGCATTTTATTAATTAATTTATGCAATACTTAACGTACCTATATTAATCTAACAGGTTTTATATTTATATTTTAAACTATCAAAAAAACTTACTTCCAACTTCTACTCTGACATTTATTATTTCACTCAACCAATTAATTCTAACTTTAAAAATTTGGAAAATTTCAAAAACTTATACTTAACTGTAACTATAGTTGAAATCATTAATTTACCCAGGTTTGCTATACTGTCATTAGGTTTTAATTATCATTGAGTAACACATGTTGTGTCTTATACCTATATAAATATATTGGACGTGCGTTTTATTGTCTTATTGTTTTCTCCGAAATCGACACGTTTGGAGTTCCTTTAACCAGTATAATATTACATACCATGGAGCAGTTTGAATAAATTTTGAGGAGAATTCAAGAGGACATTTTTTTTAAATATCGTATTAATTAATATTATATATAAAATATTAAGTTTTCCGGTTTACAATCAAACACACTGGCTATACAAGAAATAAAAAATGAAATTACAAAGTTCGCAAGTTTTACAGTTTCATTACAGTATAAATGTGTGTTTAATTTTTTTACAAGAAACGTATTATAAATTTCTAAATATCTTAATAGTTAATTGCAGTCGGTTATTCATCAGCATGGAAAATCTCAAATTTGATTTGTAAATTCGTATCAAAAATTCGATCTACYTCTCATGTTAAATAAATAATGATTCTAATAGAATCCKGCCCCTTTGCGAGTATTGTACTCAAACACGACTCGGGTGCTTCGTTTGAAATTTTTAGTAAATCCRATTTGTTAAGCGTTTTAAGTAGGTACCCCACTACCACGTCACAGGAAATGTACACATTAAAATAAACAAGAAAATATAATACTATTTCGTAATAATAATTATTAGTATGTCGATTCGTTAATTTATGCGTATCCTCGAGTTTGTTATATATTCGTATCTAGGCATCTATATAAATGTCGTTAAATGTTATGCACGTTTCCAAATGGTGTCGGTACATCTCTCTTTTCATTAATGAATAATATATACTTGGACTAATAAATTGAGTAATAAATATATTTTGGACGCAGCGCCCTACATCTTCTATTAAAATTAAACAAATAATTTATTATAGATATTATATTATGGGATAAGATAGCAGTCTTAACTATCTGACGAAGCCAAAATACATGGCCCTCCCAAAAAAAATCCAAATTGTATTACGAATTTAAGGTTATATGTATATTATGTAGTGTTTGAGTTTATTATGTTGTTTGACTAGCAAAATTTAAAATTTAATTTGTTAACTTCACGGAGAGTCTGAACCCTTCTTAGTTCTTATCCCATCCATGGCGAAGCAACCTATTATTGATGAGTGATTTACTATTGTAGAGCTCAAAAATCATAAGTTTTAAACATTTTATGTAATTACTAATTTGTTGTACCTATTTGTATTTATATTTGCATAAAATTATTGTTTTTCATTTTTTGGCACCGATAAAATGAAATATATCTAGATACTTAATTGTATTTTTTTAAATTTTATAAAATTAAACTCAATAAGATGGTCAGGTTTAATTTTTTTTTAATTTTGCGTTGATGTCAATATTTTATGTAGTTTAGCCACTGATTCATGAGATGTAACGAGTTATATTATTGAGTAAATGGTGAGAGATTTTTTTTATTATTATTTATTATTCATATTAAATATCAATTCGAAAAGGCTGACAACCGTGATGCACAACGACCGCCGCATTGTTCTTACATATATGAATAAAATGGGTAAGTTAAAGACGATGATAAATAATAATAATAATAAGGTGTCATTTTCGATGTCCTGTGCTTGATTATATTTATTGTTACTAACGTAATTTTTACGACAAATTTTGCCGCACCCGTTTTCGACCGTATGTAATATCGTTTGAATCG